CCAGCTGGGGACAGAGGAGTGTGTCAGAAACGTAACAAAAAGCAACCTTTCAAGGCGATTCCACCACAAGACCCACTGATTGCCTCAAACTGAAACAAAAGCAGCTTTGAGGCAGGCTGCTGCTGGGCTGATGCCAGCAGCAACTCCTGCACCACTCCAACAAGGATGACGAGAGAAAGAATATTAAAGTGCTTTACAAGGTACTAATTCAGGTTATGCACATTTCAACCTTTCCCAGATCCTGGGTCAGGAAGGAAAAAAATCCTCCGGTCTGCATTATTATGGGAGACAATAACTCTCCATGTAGAAACCAAAACACTTCTTGTTCTTCACAGAGAGAAACAGCAGCCATTAATCCAGCTGGAAGAAATCACAGTCATTACTAAGGAAAATTACAAGACCTTTCACTTTTAAATACTTGATAAATAACTATTTGCCTGACTCTTTACTGGGATGCTATTCACACATCATAATCCAGGAATAAACATGAAAATAAGTATATTGTCAGCAATAAAACAAGTAGCTAGTGTCTCGCCCACTTGCAGACCCTGTAATTCACACACAAAACCACTCGCTCTCATCATTTCCCCTAAAGATTTCATTACACTGCTATGCTATTAAATTGCATAAGACTACTTCCGAAACACAGAACAGTTATTAATTTTTTGGACCATGCTGGAGCCTGGTAGCACAGGTGATGCTACTGTACAAGGTGCTGTGCAACTGTAAAATAGAAAAGTCCTCTATATTATAAAGTTATTATAGGGAAAATATATGCTAGAAACTACATCATCAAGTGCCTCTAACACTTACAGGTGTCCTCCTTAGGACCCTTCATCTCTGAACCAAGCTCAAAGTGGTACCTGAGCTGGTACCTATACCTACCCAGCCTGCTGTTTTGGTGCCCAGCTGTGGGTACGTTACTTGCATCTTCCACTGAAGAACTTCTCACCCTTCCCTTTACATTTACCAACCAAACTGCTGCAACTTACGTGCATGAAAAAGGCCCCAGTCTCATATGCTGGGCACCAAACCACATGAAGACAACCCACATGCTGTCACAGAAGTTCTTCCACAGAGCATGCACTTACAGTACTGAACTGTAGCATCCTAATTTAAGAACAAGTGTTTGATCTGCTCCCAGCACTCCCCTTAGCCACATAAGCAGCTAAAAGGAAGGAGGAATACTGGCTAAAATGAGCACCACATTCACACAGCTCCAGCTAATCTGCAAAAAGGGCTTAAAACCAAATTTTCATGCTTCAGTTCAGTAGCAGAGTAAGTCTAATACATCAGCTTTTCTCCTGCATTCTGGTCTTTACATCAAGTGTAGAGATACCAGGTGAGAAGAGAAGGGTCCCGATCCATTACATCACCCCACTCCTGCTACCATGGCACAACACAATACCTACACCCCAAGGCTCACCCTAGTGCAAGGATCAGGTGCCCCTACTCTAGCACAGCTGAATCTGGTCCTGTTTGCAGAAACAGAACTAGCATAAGGGATGCCAAGGGTGCAGTGTATCAGGGAAGTGCCCAGCTCAGCAGCGAACAGCAAAGTGCCCTGCAAGCCCTTACAGAAGCACATCAGCAGAGCCACATCCTTGCAAGGAGAGGAAAAGGAGGCAGGGTCTCAGAGGCAGGATAGGGGAAGCTGGGAAAGACAAACAGCCACATCAAGAAGGCTTGCAGTCTTCTGTCCATAGTCTGTGGTGTAATAGCAACCTTATACATCCCAAGCGCCAAAAATCCCTCCAACTTAGCCCCAGGTGACTCAACACAATTGCACTCTTCTAATCAAAATGCCTGGTGCACATCAAGCTGAGAAAGCACATGCTGGTATTGGGGTATAAGGGGACTTGGAGCTGAGAAGGTAGTTAAGACCCTTAATCGCAGCAGCACAAAGGTACCATCTCTCCTGACCTCCAGGCTGAGAAAGGGAGAGCAAGAGTGGAAGGTCTGGAAAATGCCAGCTCTTTACCACATGTACTCTGGACACACAGTTCTCACTTGGGAAACCTGGCCCAGTTTAGGCCTGACACAATTATAAAAC